TCTCTTCTCACCCACCTACCATCTCATTCAACCCATCTCCATTTCCGATGCAGCTAATCACAAATAACAGAGGTCGGTGATATCCCGTTACATTCCATACACTAATTCATTTCATTTTCCATTTCTTCTCTCCACTCTCTCTACTCTATTTCTCTCCACTTTTCTTCTATCTACTAGCACCGACTACTGTGAAATATGGGTGTCGATCGCCTCTTCGCGATGAGTGTCGGTGTCGCGGCTGCTGCGAAATCGGTGTGAGCGGTGCTAATTTGTATTGTGGGCGGCTGCTGTGAAATCTATGAGCATCGGTGTGGGGCGGCGCTGGGCGACTGTGATTTCTATGTGTGTGGAAGCCAATTGTGTTTGTGTGTATTATGTGGTGGTGTTGGAGTTGGAGTCTCTTTTCAGATCGATGCTATGAGATTGTAGTGTGGTTTGATGCGGTGGTGGTGGGTGTGTGCTGTGGGTGCATCGTACCTGAACCGTCGTTGCCAGTCGGAGAGTGCTGCCGACGAAAACACTCACAAGCGCGGAGAAGTCGTACCTGAAGTCACTGCGTGCAGTGCCTACAATATTTTCAATGTGAGGAAACTGGGCCTGCATTATTTGAAGAGCCACCATAGTATCGCTAAAAGAGAAATTCTCCTCTGCACAATTACGTATATTTCTCCAACGTGAATTCCGAGGGGAAAAAAGGGTCACCAAAAGCAGAAAAATTAAATCATGAAATAATGAGGGGAAATTTTTCACCTTGTGAGAGAGAATGGTTCTGAAACTGTTGTTTTCCTATTCATAATTCCTCTTTTTCTATACCGAATCTGTATTTGCACTCTGGATGTGGTTTCCATTAAATCTCTCAAGCTTTAATGTTTATGGTAATTTTCCAGCTAATTTCTACTGGATTTTATCCCTCCAAAACCTCGATCTCTCCAACAACAGTTTAGTGAGTCTCGTTACGTCTGCTTCCATCTCTCTCTGCTCTGTGTGGGTTGTGGTTCAGGTGTGTGCGAGTGTTGTGCAGTGGTGTGCGGGTGTTATGGTGGTGACAGTGGTGACTGATGGTGTTTTGGTGGTGGTAATTGGTGTTATATGGGGTGGTACGATATGCTAGTTGCAGTTACGAGCATTGGATCTTCATGTGGTGGTGGTTGTGCGGTATGTTGGTGGTCATCGTGACTGTTTGTGACCAATTTTGTGTTGATTGTGACTTGAGATTGACTTGGTCACAGACAGTCACA